ACTTCTGTTAAGGAGCCAAGCCAACCATGCCCATTTTTGGAAACTCCATCCCATTCCATTCTCCATTCCCCTTCCAAAATGCTTCATGTTCTAACACTGTGTCTGAATACTGAGTATGCTGACTCCTCGTTGGGTTAGTTGGGTGTGGGAAGAATTGCCCCTTTAGTTTCTTTTTAATTGTTATTTCAGTAGATCTTGACAATTCCCAAAAGCACCCTGGCACCTTGTATTTTAGTGGCAGTGTTTCTGCTCCATTTTTCCCAGGACTCACCACTTTCACTGTTACAGGGACTGACAAGTTGGACCTTCAACACAATTTTAAATTGCCTCCCTCCTGGAAGTGCTTCTTTTTGGCCTTAGCTCTCCAGGCATTCCACTCCTCACTCCTTTTTGCCTCTGACTGATATTTCCTTCCCAAGTGTCACTCTCTATAACCTGCCTACTGAGATTACACAATACAGTTTGGACATTTTTTTAAAATTAAAATGTTTTTGTACTAATGCAAAACTCAGGATTCCTCTGAGTATGTTAATTCTTCACTCCTGTTATTCTGTAGTCCTGTTTTTAAGCTACAAACTGAGCACCGCGCACCACACCTTTGCGATGACATGATGAGATATTGAAATAAAATGAAATTCAATTCAGAATATGTAACTGAACACATGCGCATAACTTGCAAAATGGGAAATTACAAAGATCAATATTATAAGATCTTTATGATTTCTTTGAGGTGTGTCTGAAATAGGTTGGTCTTCCCTACATTTTGGAAAAGTTACTTTTCTGGATTATAACTCCTAGAATCCACCAGACTGCATAGCCGTTGACCACCCTGACTGAGGATTCTGGAATTGTGTTCCAAAAAGTAGCATTTTCAAGCTCTGATCTCCACTGTTATGCCACACCATGAAGCAGAGGTGGGTGGTTGAGGACATTTCTGGCCATCACCAGCTTCCCACCTACTTTTTGTCTCTCCCTTCCTTGTCCTGCCCTGCCTCTGTGGGTGGGAAGCAGCGTGTGATCTCCTGGCCGCTGCCTCACACAACCCTCCTTTCTCACCACTCCCACAGGTTTTCTTGTTTCCCAAGGGAGGGAGTGTAGAACAACCTCCCTTCTATGCTTCAGGGGCCCTGTAGGTGAATGGAGTCGAATCCTCTTGGTTGTGCTTGGCCCTTCTTGCCTGAGACAAGGATGGATGCCATGGAGTAGAGGTAAGTTTGCAGAGCTTGGATGTTCACTTGGGTGCTCTGATGGGTATATGTGGGGTGTTGTGCTGGTATATTGTGAGACCCAACCCTTCCATCTGTGCCCTGAGGTGGGGATAGTGTAGTATCCATAAACCCCATCCTATAGGTTGTAATTTAGAGGAGATAAGTCTCCGGGAGTAGCATTTGCAGAAGATTCAAGGGGCAGATTTAGAGCCAGACCATATTCTAGCCCAACTTCTTGGAGCACCAAGCTTGTGGTGGGCAGGGTAGGCTCGCACAGGCAATGTGTTCCCCTGATTCCTCAGATTGAGAAAGAATAATAAAAACAGTTTATCTTGGCTAGAAGGATTTTGGAGACTGATCTTCACAGTAAACAGTTCAGTTTAAACACTGTAATGGCAACTTTTCCAAACTTGAAACTGTCAGCTGTAACAAATTACTTTTAAAATGTAGCTTTCCAAGCTCTTCTACAGTCCGGAGTTAGTAGAAGAGGGGTTCATATATGAATCATAAGCAGAAGAGGACATGAGTATGTTACTTTGAATGTTTGCAGAGAAGAGATTAATGTCATGGTCCTGCAGCATCATATACCAGGAGAATCTACCCTTAAGAAAATTTCCATTTGTACATAACTATTAAAAGTGCAGTTTTCTGTGTCGTACTGGACCTTTTTAGTGTAGATGGTAGCAACCAGTTCTGGATTTGCTGAACACATAATATCTTGTAAACACTGGAGAATAAGAAAAAAATGCAGTCCCTGTCCACAGTTGTAGGCTGTATGTCAATGATAAAACACACATTTAAATGTCAAGCTCCTAAGTTTGGTCCTCAATCTTGTTGTGTGTCTTCAAGTTGTTTCCGACTATGGCAACCCTAAGGTGAGCCTATCACAGGGATTTCTTGGCAAGATTTTTGAGAGGGAGGTATGCTTTCATCTGAGGCTGAGAGAGTATGACTTACCCAAGGTCACCAGTGGTTTTCCATGGTTGAGAAGAGATTCAAACCCTGATATTCAGAGTCATTGTCCAACTACACTACACTACACTACACTGGATCATTGTATGTCAGACTATAATTCCCATAATCCCTATTGGCAAGGGTAAAATAATCCTTCATAAAATACAGTTAAAGGTTCAGAGCTGAGCCAGTATTTCAAATGAGGCTTTTAATGACCACTCTATTAGTCTCTTGTTTTATTCAAGATCTAGAAAGGATCACTGAAAGTAAATTACATCCATAGGCTTTAAGTTACATAGGATGTAAGTAAGTTACATCCATAGATAAGACAAAATTATTGTCTTGCAACAGAGTGTGAAAGTTATGGAGAGGGCAGAGAGCATAAACCTCAGGATTCCCCCACCAGCTGACCATGTTTGATGGGGGATTGTGGGAGTTGTTATCCAATAAGTAACCCCTCTAAGCTGTGCCCATAATGCACATGCATCTGAAACAACTGCTGCATTACTTGGTTCCCTCTGTTTTCCTTGTGTTGGGATTTTTAGATTGCAGACTCCTTGGGGCAAGAGGCTGTCCTGCTGTATTCTGAGACATCCTCTGTACTCTGATGCTATTAAACTAATAATAGATTGGTATAATGCTTTAAAAAGAAAAGCCTTTTTGTGGCAACTGGAGAGGGGGAATGTGATCCAGAAAGGCCTTAATACAAATTGGAACCATGTGCACACAGGGGCAGATCTCCCATCCTTGCCACTGCAGTTGGGAAGACAGATAAGTCTTTAAACAATCCTGATGTTGTAAAAGGTGGTTGCATAAGAGGAATAAAAAATTCTGCCAAAAGAGATAAAAGAAGGGAGAGTTATGGTGCCGAACAGTTCGCCCTCTTTGGGGCAGAAACGATTGGTGCCTGGAGCCAGGGGCTTTACTCGAAATCTTCTTGCAAATCCCACTTAATGGGTGGTCTCTCTTTTTGTGTTTCTATTTTGCCTGCCTGGATTTGTGGTCCCTTGGCACATACAAAAAGTTTTACACAACCCCTCTCTGCTCAAGGATTGCCTGGATGTTTAGATGTAACTTGCCACTTCTTTGGTAGATGTTAATGTGCATGAATTGTCCTCTTGTTGCAAAAAGAATTATGGCACCACTGTTTTTAAGGTTGTAACGCTAAAAGTTCTCATCATCTTTTTCATTACTCTTAATGAAAGAGGTATTGCCCAAGTGTTGTGCCATTCTCTACCTACGGCCCGGGGGCCGGTTAAGGCCCAGGTCCCTGGATTTACCGGCTCAGGCGGAAGGTTGCCGCCGCCGCGCGCCGCTGCTGTGCGTTTTTCCTGCCGTGCGGCCGCGTGCACTGCAACCGCCATTTTGGAAATTAAAATGGTGGTCGCGACTCGCTTGCGCATGCGCAGGAGTGTGCATGCGCAAACGTGTCGCGGCCACCATTTTGATTTCCAAAATGGCGGTGGCAGAGTGCGTGTGCGCATGCGCACGCGCCGCCATTCTCCCCCCCATCAGCCCAGTGGTGGGAGGGACTTCGCAGGACCAGCCCCAAGCTTTAAAAAGTTGCCTACCCCTGCCTTAGCATGTCATGTTTGGACAGCAAGAGTGCTCTGATCAGTTTCTGGCCAGAGCAGGAGCCCCATTTTACCTACTTGGAGCATTGTGAGGCATAGGACCTTATCACACAAGGGAAATCCTGTGCAGAAACAGGATTTAAAAGCTGGGGAAAACCCACAGAAGCAGGTTGATTTTCACACACATCACTTAAATTGTTACCCTGAGAGGAAAGTAGTCAAAAGCTGCTCCTTTTGACTACTTACAATGTAAAAAGTAAAATGGATTGTGAGTAAAATAGTTATATTAATCTCCGGATGTTTATTCTCTTTGCACAGCTCAGGAAGTATGTTGTCTGTCTGTCTGTTAGTTTGTTTGTTTTTGGGCAATGTTTTTAGAGTTAGTGTTAGTTCTAGATAGTGTTTTTGTCTTTGTTTTGTTGTTGTTGTTGTTTGTGATGTTTGCCTTCTTTTAATTAATAAAATTTGTTACCAAAAAAAAAAAAAAAAAAAAGCCGCTCCTTTTTACTTTCGGGATTTTCCTTTAAAAGTGATGTTGTCTGAAAAATCGACCAGCTTTTGCGGGTTTTTCCCCTATTTAAAACCCCATTTCTGCACGGGATTTCCCCCATGTGATAAAGCCCTGAGATTATGTGACTTGCCCAAGGTCAACATTCATGGCCAAACAGGGAATCAAACGCTGCTCTCCAGAGTCATAGTCCAACACTCAAACCACTCACAGAATAACTCACAGAATAGAAAGCTACTGGAAACAAAAGAGGCTTCCAGTAATAAAAATCATACATCCATTCTCAAAGCCTTTAACCTCTGCAAATTATAGACAAAAGCAGCTTTTTATATTCGCTGAGATAAAAGGAAGACAATAACAAAGACAGAAGAATTCTATAAGGTCTAAAGCAAACATGAGCAACTGTGGCAGATCTAAAGGCCAATATTTTGTCTCTGGGACATTTTGTGGGGCTGTATGGACTGAAAAGAAAATGCCCCCAAATAGATAAAAGAGTTTAAAGTAGCTAGAAAACAATGGTTTTTTACGGTACAGGAAGATGCAACCTATAATTTAAATGCAATTCATGGAGGCTTTCAAAAAGAGGTGATCCTCCCTCCCTCTTTCTGTCTTTCTCTTTTGTCAGAAAAGGCTGGTCCAGAGACTAGGGTGTCTGGAGAGTCCAAGAGCTGCAAAACAGCCTAAGGGAGAGTCACACATGGCCCCAGTACTGCATTTTGGCCATGCCAGTCTGTTTCTACAAAAAGGTACCAAAGAGCCAGTGTGGTGTAGTGGTTTGATTGTTGGCCTCCGATTCTGAAGACTAGGGTTCAAATCCCTGTTTGGTCATGGAAACCCACTAGACAACCTTGGGCAAGTCACACTCTCTCAGATTCAGAGGAAAGCAATTACAACCCCCTCCCAACAAATCTTGCCAAGAAGACCCGGTGATAGGGTAGCTATAAGTCGGAAACAATTGGAAAGCACACAGTAACAACAATGGAGTTTATCACACAGAATGTGCAGAAACTGGAATTTCACACAATATTCGGGGTTATCCTGAACAGAAACTAGAAATAACCCTCAAAAGCAGGTTGTTTTTCACATGACATTGGCATCAAGGAGAAATAATGCAACATTAATCCGAACAGAAAGTCGCCAAAACCCGCTCCTTTTTACTTTTGGGAACTTCCGAAAGTAAAAAGGAGCAGGTCTTGGTGACTTTCCATTTGGGTTAATGTCACATTGTTTCTCGTTTACACAAATACATCTGAAAAACAACCGGCTTTTGTGGGCGATTTTCAGATTTTTAAAACCTGTTTTTGCACGGGATTTAAGCAATTTGCCTCCATGTGATAAATAACTCTAAAGAGCTATAAAACAGGGAAGGAAATCTTTGGCTCTCCACATGCTATTGACTACAACTCCCATACTCCTTTACTACTGGCCACACTGGGCCAGTCTGATGGGAGTTGTAAGCCAAAACATCTGGAGGGTGAAAGATCCTCTTGATATAAGAGCTGATTCTTCTAGGCATTGCCCCGTTTTGATAGCACACAAACACCGGCAAAGCAAAGTTTGCACCAAGTACAAACCTTAATTCATACGATTCCATCCCTGTGATTTTGGAAACCATTTTCACAGGGCTCTTAACCATTTGCAGGTTCTGTTGGAGTCGCTTCTTTGCTTAGTACCCGGTGTGTGTGAGTGTGTATGTTACTCGGCAGCTAGGGCCAAGTCACAGAGCAGACAACAGGTTAATTGAATCCCAATTCTCAAAAGCCTCTTCTCCTACTCCGCTCCTCTTGGCAATGTGTCCCTAAAGTACCAAGCACACTGTGCCCATTGGCAACATCCCAGACAGCCGGCGAGGGCCACAAGGGTGCGTGCGCACAGGGCAACCGCTGTTGGCACAAAGTGTGGCTTCAGTCAAGATGTTGAAGCTGGCTCGGTGACTCCCTTGCTCCCTTCGCCTGGCTGAATGAGCCAAGTGTGCTTGCCCAGAGAATCGTCATTTTGTATGTTTTGTGCATGCAGGCGCCTGTGCGAGTGAAAGAAAGTTGCACGCCACTCCCCTCACATTCAGATGTCCGTCTCTTCTGGGTTCATTGCACAGAGTGGAACAGTTCTTTCTCTGAAGGTACACACAGGGAGGGAGCCAGGACCAAACCAAGGCAAAGTAAGGGACCGTGGAAGAGGCGTTTGTGCCTGGTGGCAGACAGCCACCTCTGGGAGTAAGCACTTACTCTTGGGGATGTGGGCAGATGCGGAGACCTTTGCCAGTCCTTATGGTATAGTTTCACGTGTAGGTGTATTGGAATTATACTTCTTTTTCTGGGCTTCTGTTCCTTTCAACAACAGGCAGAAATTTAACAGGTAAGGTTTTCCTATCATTTCCCCCCTGTGTGTTGTGGGAGGGGGATTGCAGCTATTAAGTTATGTTGCAGAGTTGTTTAAAAGTACAGGAGCTCCACGAAGAGGGAGGATGGGATGACAAAAATGTAATTTGTCTGTGTTTATCTCTCTGCGGAAATAGATTGCCTTCTTAATTGAAAGGCTGCCAATTGAGTATATGGGCTTCATGAGTTGCCTTTCATTCTTTTCTGTAAACTCTCGTGAATTATCACCTCGTGCCAAGATAGAGCTGATTTATATGGATCCATTTGTGGATCAAGTTATCTTTGCCTTTCAGATGTTATAGACCAGGGGTAGGCAACCTAAGGCCCGGGGGCCGGATGCGGCCCAGCAAGGCCTTTGGACCGGCCCCAAACCGGTCCTGCCGCCGCCACCCCCCCCACCGCCGCCGCCCCCCCCATGATGATATTGATTATTGTTGTTATTACTTGTTCTTGGGGTTTTCTTGGCAAAATCTTCACAGGGGTTTTGCCATGGCTTTTCTGGGGCTGAGAGAGTGTGCATGCATTTTTTTTAAATTTTTTAATTCTTTTTTAATTTTAATTTTAATTTTAATTTTAATTTTAATTTATTTATTTATTTATTTTTGGTGCTTCGGCCCATCAATTGTCTGAGGGACAGCAACCCGGCCCCCAGCTCAAAAAGGTTGCCTACCCCTGTTATAGACTACGACTCCCACAGCCCCATGGCATTGGCTATGCTCGAGTATGTTTAGGGAGATTATACAGCAAAACACCTGGAGGGCTGAAGGTCCCCATCTCTAGTGTAGATGAGTATCAGAATAAAACACAAGTTTATACAGAATATCTGCCATGATTGAGGAATGAAAGCAGTTCTATTCACCCAGGAGTAACCCTTTGGTAACGGCTGCCACCTTCAGACTGTAATGGGAATGGCTCAGCTTGAGAGCAGAGCAAGAATTTACTGGATGGTACGGTACTTCTTTCAACATTCATCCATTAAAGAAGATCTGGGATTTCTGTATTTGTTAGGACTGAATAGAATTTTATCCTTTAAGCAAGATGCCAGAATTGGATTGGAGAAAGCTGGCCCAGAGGATCAGGGTTTCAGAAGTGGATTGTCAGTTATTCAGTTGGTGTGGCTGCTCCAGGCCTATCACTGGCTGACCAGTCCAATGCTGAAGAAATTTCTCTTCTTCCCCAGATGATGTTTCTCTGATCATCAATACTTTGTGCATTATTTGAGAAGTGAGCAGAAATTCATGGGATTTGCTCTTAGTCTCACTGAAATTACAGGGCTGAAATGGGATTCACACGTGAAGATGTTTACGCTGCTGTCTGTTGCACTTTGCACACCTTCCGGCCGTCCTGATTTGTGAGGAACAGTCCTGATTAATCCTCTTGCATCCCATTTTTTCAGCTGCTTTTAAAACGTCCCAGTTTTTCTCTCTTCCTCTCACTTTCCTTCTTTTCCCTCAGCTTACTTCAGTTGCTTTAATCTGAATTCAAAGTATAAAAGTTGTTTTCACTCAGTTAACTCCGTATGGGGGAGAAAAAAGGCTAGGAGGGGGACAGAATCTTGCCTTTCCCAGTAGACTCAGGCAAAAGCAAACTGCTGCAGCCTCTCCTAGCTTGTGTGTTCTTCCTCATTCCTAAATCTTTGTCATCTTAACCACACTCAATGTTGCTTGGCCACACATGTCCCAGTTTTCACCTGTGAAATATTGGGAGGATATGACTTTATTTCATTTATTGTTTATTCATTTATTTAATTTCTATGCTATAATACCTAGAAGAGCACACACAGGCACACAAAGGGGGGGAAGGCTTGTTTCTGAAACAGCTCTAGAATCCCCAACCACCTTAATCCTGCCTGGAGGGGATGTCAGCCAAGCCACTGCTGTTGTTATTAGGGCTCATAAATTTGTTATGAGAGCATATGCTTGTAGATTTAGCTGCCACTTACCTTGTCCTTGGTGCCCCCTTAATCCCATCCTAGACTCACTGGCATCACTAGGGGGTGCAGGGGGTGCGCGGACCATACTGGGCGACATCCCAGAGAGGGGTGTCATCCGGTGGGGCAGTACTGGAAGGATTGGGATTGCTACTGGGCAAACGAGAAAAGGTGCTTTCCAGCTTACCCAGGCGCTGCACTGGAGCCTAAATGGGCTGCCTCAGCTGCCTCAATCATAGTTGAGAGTAGTCACAAGGCTTATTTTGCATGGCCTTTTGTCCCAATACTTCTCATTTTTACCTGTGTGTTGATATGTATGCATATGTGTATGTATGATTGCTTTCTTGTTTCCTGTTAACTGCCCTTGAGTCAGCCCCAACTCATGGCAACCCTGTGGATGAGACACCTCCCTATCCTCCACTGCTCTGTTCAGTCCCTGAAAACCCATGCCTATGACTCCCTTCATTGAGTCCATCCTTCTTGCTTGCGGTCTTCCCCTCCATTTCCCCTCTAGCATTATTGTTTTTTCTAGTGATCCATGTCTTCACATTATGTGGCCAAAGTACGACAGACTCAATTTGATCATCTTGGCTTCCAAAGAGAGTTCTGGCTTGATCTGTTCAAGGACCCATTTGTTTGACTTTTTGGCTGTCCATGGGATCCTGAGCACTTTTCTCCAGCACCACATTATCTCAAATGCATTGATTTTCTTTCCATCTGATTCCTTCACTTTCCAGCTCTTGCACCTGTACATGGCGATGGGGAATACTATTCTAACTTTAGGGCTCTGTTGTATATCTTTGCTCTTCAGGATCGTTTCTAATTCTTTCATAGCTTCATCTTCTTCTTATTTCTTGACTGCAGAGGTAAGTGGTGCTGCAGCCCCCGGAGGGCCCATTTAGGATCCGGTGCAGCTGCTGGGTAAGCGGGAAAGCACCCTTTCTTGTTTGCCCAGTAGCAATCCCAATCCTTCCAGTACTGCCCCACCAGATGGTACCCCTCTCTGGGATGTCTTCCCAGTATGGTCCGCACCCCCCTGCACCCCCTAGTGATGCCAGTGAGTCTAGGATGGGATTAAGGGGGCAGCAAGGACAAGGTAAATGGCAGGATCCCAAGTGTCAGGATTGTGGAGCCAGCCTGGGAGAAGGGATCTATAACATAGGCATATCATAGGCAGGTCTTCCTTCTTGTTCAAATCCCAAAGCCTTCTCTGTTAGCTCATAACCCTCTCCATGTCAGCTCAACACCCTCTCAGTATCAACCCTGTCTCTGTGAAATCAAAATCTTGTCTGTACCAACCAGGTGTACCAAGTTTGAAGCTGCATGATCTCTTAAAATCCAGCAGATGGCACTGCAGGAGAGTAGTTCCTTCACCTTCTAATCTAGAGCTTTTTCTCCTTGGCAGAATGAATGAATGAATGAATGCCCAAAATTTCCATTATGGGATATCTTAGGTGCAGACATTGGGGAGGATCCTCCCCTGTGTCTGCACCTAAGCTATCCCATAATGGAAATTTTGG